ATGAGACATTAAATTTCATGAAGATCTGTGGGATCCAAACCCCACAGTTCCCCACAGTTCCCACAGAAGGCTAAAGGCTAGAAAACTTATTGTGGATTGCTTCTAGCAGTCAATGCAGCAGATTAATTCCACTGATATTTAAAGGCTGGAAAAAGAATTATGTTTCCCAAAGTTGCTATGAATACTGAAAATATATAAAAAAACCCAAACACCACACTTTCTTTGGGCTCTGTAGAAAGTCAGATACATGATGTTTACTTTTTTAGCTGATTTCAAAACTGTAAAAACATAAGATTGTAGCCTTACCTCATTTTAAGAAATCCATACATCATTTTGAGAAACCATTTTAACAGGTGACAAAGGCAGTGTTTGAACATTACAGATCTTCTTCTTTCAAAAAATACTATTATGTAAAATTCTATTATTTACTATTGATTTGTCAATTATTGCAAGAATTCTGCTATTGAATTTCGCCTGTTTTGCAGCTGCAGTACTGGAATCACTTTTTAAAATCTCTCTATTTTATTTATTTATTTATTCTAAGTTTAACAGTGGTTATAACATAACTTATTTTTCTTTTATATCCGCCACAGGAAAATTTTTAATTAATATCTTGATTTGGTCACTTTATTGTTAACATTTCTACTTACTCAGTATTAGAAGACAGGGGTCATTATTTTAAGGAAAATTTTAAACTAAACCAGGTTTAACATATACTATGCTTTTACATTTACTAAAGTGTGAGCCACTTGCTGCCTCCAGCAGAAGTTTATTCAAGAAAACTATTCATCTTCATTATTTTGACAATATGACAACCTGTTTCTTAAAAATATTTTTTAAAATGATCTGCCCAGGGAGACACATTTCAATAGACATTTCTATTCTGATGGCAACTTTCACTTCTCTTAAATGGATTTTAAAAATGAAAAGTCAATGTTCTTAATTGGCAGTTGGTAATAATTTCCTCAGCATTCTTAATCTGGATGTCTAAAGCAATTTATTGCCATAGGTATCTGTTATCCCTGTCTTTATGTGAAAACAGGGGAAAGATGAACAATTCCCAAAGGACATCTGACACAAAAGAAAAAGCTGTTGTTTATTTCAAGCTAGTCATATTGTTGCCACATGCTAACTACCTGGGGAGATATACGGTTTTGTATAGAGTTCTCCCTCTGAGTTACAGTGGCTCTATCAAAGCCTCCGGCACAAGCAGTTTGGGCAGGACTAAAAAGTAAACAGGGCATACAAGCAAGGAATCACCTGGGAATGTAAAGTTTCCCCTAGGTCCTACAGTGGAATCAGGTATCAAACTATCTACTTATCCACAGAAGGTAGCTTACAGGAAAAAAACCAAGTGGCATAGCAGCAGTGGAGATATTTCTGTCTACTGAGGTTTAGGGTTGGGCTGGCCACTAAATTCTGACAGACGCTTTCTGTGATGTCCTCATCACCCTTCCAGGGTTGGATAACCAGGGAACAATGGAGAAACTTTAAGGTTGGAAAAAAATTTGAACAAGTTTAATGAAATAGAAAATAATTCTAACAATAACGATGTTGAACTACATACAAATACAAACAGGTATGTAAATGCATTCAAAGATAAAAATGAGTATGTTTACTACAGAACCTGCAGCTTCCAGATGATAAGTAGATCCCAGCAGAAGAAAAAAGTTCCAGACTAGACTTGGCAGCAGACATAAGTAACCGAGCAGAAAGTCCAGATAAAAGTCAAAAAAAAACCAGAACAGGAAACATTGGAGCAGTTGCGCTGCTCTCACTCAGCGAGCCAGGGGAAGGTGACCTGTCTCAATGAATAGTGCTCCTCTGCAGCACAAAAACAGGAGGCAGGAACATCAGCAGCACAGGGACAGATGACAAAGAGCCAAGAGCAAACCTCTCAGCACATCAAGCATTAAAAGCTCATAAAGCTTTTCTTAGGGGCTCTTTTATACTGAGCAACATGGGAAGAAATACCATGATTGGTCCATTTGGGACACCTGACACATCCTCTCCTCCCCATAGACACTGCTGCCTCTCCTCCCTGTTTGTGATTGCCACATGTAGCAGGAAGCTTTGGAAAGCTTTTATTGTTGCGCTTGAGAAAAAGACTAAGCATGTTGTATTGCCTGAATAACTGTACTGGGCTGACAGGCAAATAAACACTAGAGTAGCATTAAAGGAAGAGACACTAATCTGTGTTATCATTCTAGGCTTTACAATTACACCTATTTTTGGCTATTCAAAGCAAATATTTAAAATTTCTTTGAGAAGGTGTGCTGACACTTGAATGTGAAATTTTATGTTGCAATAATTGTTAGTGGACAACCTGCTGCCTTCCAAAAGACCAGCAGAATTTGCTGCCGATTTCTGGCTGGTGTTCACACAGTGCAGTGCAAGTAGATTGTGCTGTTCAGGAGGAGTGAAGCTAAGCAAAAAGAATTAATTGCTTTAACTCCTATAAGTAATTCACAGAATATGTATTCTGTAAATATCAGGTGCTTACATATGCCTGCAGAACACTGATTAATGAAAAAGTGTACTAACATGCACACCTCTCAGAGACTTGTTCCCCAGTTACTCAATTTTTGCTTTCTTATATAGACATGTGTTTAATAGTGTATATCAAATAGTATGATTCACAACAATAGGATAGAAAATTTAATATAATAGAAAAGATTGGTATCCAAAGTCTTGCCCTGCAGATGGTTCTGTGGCTGTTCATGTTGTATTCTTTTGATCTTTTCCCTCACAAACATGTATCAAAGCCGTAAGTGTTATATTAGGAGTTTTATGGTGTATCTGAGGCATTTCAACAACAAAGTGTGAACTAAGAGAATATACGCTTGATAAAGTAAAATTGTGAGTACAAATGAATAATCAGTAACACCATCGGTTGCACCATTGCAGTTTAAATTTAAAAAAAAGCAAACAACCAGAAACACAACCAAATATGCACTGCACAAAAATTATTGTGTTCTCTGGCAAAGCAGAAGAGGCTTGTATACTTACTCAAAGAACTGTCTTCACCAAAGCCAGTATATTCCATCTGGGGGGATGAGGGAGGGAGGAGAGAGGAGGGACCCTCTCTTTCTTTGTGTTTTCACCCCATGTCAGAAATCTGGTATGTGGTACACATTCAACAGAACTCGTGCAGAAATTACAATCAGGCAGACCAAGTTCCAAGTTTTATCCCTAACCAGATGAGATTTGTCCTTGTGGGTGCAGAACCAGACTCATCAGCCAGCTGTCAGGCTAGGAATCAATCTGCATCTTTTCAGAAGAGTAGCAAGCAGTGCCAAGCCCCGCAGACCTGTGGTACATCCTGCACCAGCCTGACCAGCCTATGTGGAAATCCAGCTGCCACTGCTCCACTTTCCCACTTTGTAAGTTCTTCCCTGAGGAGGCACTCCCAGTCCTAATGCTCTTCAGTAGTACTTTATCCCCACAAGTCTGGCTGAATTTATGACTCAGAGGTAAAGCATCTCCATGCAAAATTAGCAGTAATATTCAGAATTGAGCTACATCAGTCACACCTCTTAGATCTCATAGCTCAGACTTATTTTTAGATAACTCATTTGTATTTAGTGCATGAAAGGACAAATAAGTTCTAGATAACATATCCAGAATTAAGGGGAAGTATAGCTGAGAGAAAACACTACCTTTTTTAACAAATGCAGTTCTTAAAAAAAAAAAAAAAAAAAAAAAGCCCCCTAGGCTCTTTTAAAGCTCTCTACATTGTATCAATCAACATTTGTTTCCTGAGTATAAAAAAGTCATAAGGAAACAAACATTTAATATATTTGGCATACTATATATTAAAGCAGTTGGATGGAGTGATAAAATTGTTATGAATATTTATAACAGCTCTGCTAGCAATGCTAGAAGCAATGAAAATTGGCACTGCAAAATCTAGTGCAGCTTTTATACTTATGTACAACATATAAAATAGATTATTGTCATTTTCCTTTTAAAAAGAATCCGGAATCTCTCCTACTATTTTCTCCCCATGGACTGTCTGAACAATGTAGTCTCATCTCTGTGAAACCATTTTTCCACCATCATTAATTCTACTGATGTCTCTCCTGTATTTGTCCTTCCAGATGACTGTTCAAACAGCAGTAGTTCAAAGTCAGATACTTCCATTAGGGGCTAGTTTTGCACAAGTTAATTAGTCCATTTTCTTCCACACAGCAGCAGTAATTCTACAGAAGAGTTCACATAGATTTTAAAATGTCCTATAGAGTTTTGTGCTTCTTCAGCATTTAATTTGAATGTTATCAAAACAACCTTTTTCCTGCTTGTCTTGTTCTATTGAAATGAACAACATCAAAGCACATTAGGTACATTTCATATGTGCTGTTAAGTACCTCTGAGCAGCACAGAAGTTAATGAACAGTAGAAATCTTCATATAATAAACTAAATAACTTGCTTTTTAAGAGTTATTTTAAATGAAAATATTTAAAGCTCTGATCATGTAACACCCTTACATATCTTTATGTAATGTATCTTAATGGATCTAGTAGAATAGCATATAATGAAACTTAGACGGTGAAATACACCAGAAATAACCACTAGAATGATTTGTTTCATTTTTAACAACATTCCTGAGATGTCATAATAATTTAACTCATTGTCAGTAAACAAAAGCATAAAGCAGCAAAAATAATAAAAAATAGATGCACAAAATGATAAATATTGCAGTGACAGACATGCTATGTGATCAGTTTGAACTATTTTTATTTATAAAATGCAGTCATTTCTATTAACTGTATGCAGATGGAAAGTAATTAGATGATTTTGAGATGATGAAAGACTAAAATAATATGATTTTTAGACATTAACAATGGAAAGACAAAAGTACTTCGTAAATTTCAAGAAGGAAAAAGGTTTCAAATAAGAACAGTAGCAATATTTCGTATTGATTTTATACCACAAAACAGCATATAAGCTATAACCCAGAGTGTTTAATTTTGCATGGAAAGAGATAAATTATATAAAGGGAGATGAAAACCCGTACCTGGATGGAATATCATCTTCATTAAAAAGGGACCATATGCGAACAGAAGTGTCTCTAAAGGACTTCAGTGTTGCAGAAACACAGAAAGGACAGTGCTAACGAGCAGCTGCATAATTTCTTTGGCTTCCAGTAAAGAATTGTAGTTTTCAGTGCATGTAGTGGAACTAGAAGTAATGCGCATAAAAGTATCCTGTCGGATACCATATAGCCACAGAATTAAAGCCAATCACTCCTAAAGCAATTATTAAATCTTTCAATGAGCCGGGGTCCTGTATAATCAGTATGCAGTCATATAAAATAACATAGAATCATAGAATCATTTAGGTTGGAAAATACCTTTAAGGTCATCAAATCAATCTGTTAACCAAACAATGCCAAGTCCACCACTAAACCACGTCCCTAAGCACCATGTCTACATGTCTTTTAAACACCTTCATGGGTGGTGACTCCACCACTTCCCTGTGAAACCTGTTCCAAATCTTGACAACCCTTTTGGTGAAGAAATTTGTCCTAATGTCCAATCTAAACCTACCCTGTTACAACTTCAGGCTGTTTTGTCTTGTTCTATTACTTGTTACATGGGAAAAGAGACTGATTCTCATATCACCACAACCTTCTTTCAAGTAGTCGTAGAGAGTGATAAGGTCTTCCCACAGCCTCCTTTTCTCCAGACTAGACAATCCCATTTCCCTCAGCTACTCCCCAGAAGGCTTGTTCTTGAGACTGACTCTCCAGCTTAACAAAGCAACAGTCCTTCTCTGTACCCGCTACAAAACCTCAATATCTTTCTTGTAGTGAAGGCCCCAAAACTGAACACAGGATTTAAGGTGCAGCCTCACCAATGTCGAATACAGGGGAACAATCACTTCTCTGGTTCTACTGGCCACATTATTCGTGATATAAGCCAGAATGTTGGTGGCCTTCTTTGCCACTTGAGCACATTGCAGACTCATGTTCAGGCGGCTGTCAACCAGCACCCCCAGATCCTTTTCCGCCAGCCACTTTTCCTCCAGCTTGTAATGTTGTATGAACTTGTGACCAAAGTGCAGGACCTGGCAGTTTTCCTTGCTGAGCTCGAGCAACTGGCTGCCCATCATTCTCGCTTGTACAGATCCCTCTATAGAGCCTTTCTGCCTCTGCGCTCAACTTGGAGTCATCTGCAAACTTACTGAAGGTGAACTTGATCCTCTCACTCAGATAATTAATAAAGATATTATACAGAAGTGGTCCCAATACTGAGTCCTTAGGAATACCACATGTGACCAGCTGCCAATCAGATTTCACACCATTCATCACCACTCTTTGAGCCTGGCCTTGCAGCCAGTTTTTCACCCAGCAAAGAGTACATTCATCCAAGTCACGAGCAGACAATTTCTCCAGGACAATGCTGTTGGAAGGTGTCAAAAGCTCTACTAAGTACAGGTAGACAACATCTACAGCCTTTCCCTCCTTCACTAAGCAGGTGACTGTGTCATAGACAGAGATCACATGACTCAAGTAGGACCTACCTTTCATAAGCCCATGTTGATTGGGTCTCATCACCTGGTTGTCCTGGCTGTGTCACATGATGCCACTCAAGATGGAGGCAATCTTTTTAGTAAGGCCTGTTGTGACTGGACAAGGGGCAATGGTTTTAAACTAAAAGAAGGTAGATTTAGACTGGATATAAGGAAGACAGCTCTGTCAGCTCTCAGAACTTTTAGGTGGATTCCATCTGGTCCCAGAAACTTGTACACGCCTATGTGATGCAGCAGGTCATTGACCATCTCTTCCTGGATTGAGGAGAGATTATTCTGCTCCAAATCTCTGCCTTCTAGCTCAGGGAAATAGGTACCCAGAGAAAATTGGTTTTACTGTTAAAGACTGAGGCAAAGAAGGCATTAAGTACCTCAGCTTTTTCCTCAGCCTCACTATAGACTCCTTAGTTCTCCTTCTATTGGTAATGTATTTCTAAAACTTCTTTCAATTGCCTCTTATGGCAGTAGCCAGATTAAGCTTTAGTTAGGCTTTTTTATCCCTGCATAACCTTGTGACATCCTTGTAGGCATTCTGAGTTCCCTGCCCCTTTCTTCAAAAGTCTTAAATTCTCTTTTTTTCTCCTGAGCTCCAGCAATAACTCCTTGTTCAGCCAGGCCAGTCTTTTTCCATGCTGGCTCATCTTTCAGCACATGAAAGAGGCTTGCTCCTGCACCTTGTAATTTCCTTTGTTAGGAATGTCCAGCCTTCCTGGACTCATTTGCTCTTCAGGACTGCCTCTCAAGAGACTCTGTCAGCCAGCGTCCTAAACTGGGCAAAGTCTACCCTCTGGAAGTCCAAGGTAGCAGTTCACTGACTCTTCCTGAGAATCAAAAACTTTGCCATTTTGTGACTGCTATGCCCAAGACTGCCTCCAAACACCACATCACCCACAAGTCCTTCTCTGTTCACAAACAACAGGTCCAACGAGGAAGCTTCCCTAATTGGCTCCCTCACTAGCTGGATCAGGAAGTTATCTTCCACACACTTCAGGAACCTCCTGAACTGTTTAATCTCTGTTACACTGTATCTCCAGCAGACATCTGGCGAGTTGAACTCCTTCACGAGAACAAGGTCTAGTGATTGTGAAACTTCTCTACTTGCTTATAGAATATTTCATCTACCTCTCCATCCTGGTTGGGTGGTCTATAACAGACTCCCCCCATATCTGCCTTGTTGGCCTTCCTCTTTCTTCCTACTCATAAACACTCAACCTTTTCATCACCATCATAACGTTCTAGATAATTAAACACACCCTAACATACAGGGCTACCCCACTGCCTCTCCTTCCTTGCCTATTCCTTCTGAAAAGTTTATAGTCATCCATTACAACATTCCAGTTGCACGACTCATTCCACCATGTTTCCGTGACAGCAGCTATGTAATAGTTTGTTTTCTGCCCAGTGACTTCTAGCTCCTCCTATTTGTTGGCCATGCTAAATACATTGGTATAAATGCACTTCAGCTGGGCTACTGATCCTGCCACCTTTTGGCAGGGAGAAGCCCTAACTCCTACTTGACCATTCTCAGGCGATTCTGTGATTTCCAAAACATCATTATTGATGTGCCTATGCCTTGCATCTTTTCTCTTTCATGGATCTCCGTCTTCTGCATCCACCAAGATGGCACTCTGAAGGACCTTGCTGGTACCCATTCCTCAAACGTTGGCATGCTGCTTTCAGACTTACCTCTAGTGAGCCTGGTTTTATCTCTTTCCTCCTCTGAATCTAGTCTAAAGCTCTTTCAGTGAGCCCTGCTAACTTCTGTGCAATGATAAGCAAATGTTATTGCCTAACACAGCAGCTAGGCAATTCAAGCATTAAAGACAACAGAAAAGATTAATTTCATCTGGTATGAACTTCAATCAGAGGTAAATTTTACTGTCATTAGATAAGACTTTTAGTCTGTTTGCATCAGAATATATCAACAGACACATATTGATATGAAAGATGTCCCTGCTAGATCTAAGTAAAAATATTGCTGTGCAGTCACTCAAGAACAGACTGCCTAGAGAGGTACAGACTCCAAACTCAGATGCTTTCAAGGCTCAGCTGAATAAAGTCCTGAGCAACCTGGTGTGGTCTCACAGCTGATCACACTTTCAGCAGAAGATATTACTAGCAACCTCCTGATGTCCTTTCCCACCTGAATTATTCTACGTATTATTGTGTACACTAAACAACTAGTAAGATGATCTGCAAACATCAAAACAGAACAACTTACAGATTACATGTCCAATTTTAATGTTTTCAGTGAAATAATGCTATTAATGAATAATATATTCTTATTGCACAATATAACATTATTTTTTTTTAAATATTGGTGGGATTCCTAAATATTATTTTCCACTTCCCTTGCCAGTCCATGTGTTGACTTCTTCTATCCTCAATGCTTGAGTCAAAACTTCACTAAATTTCTCTGTTCTAAAGCTATGCTAGGTAACACTGGAGTTCATAAATCTTTAAATGGAAGCTATAGTAGGACTGGAAGTGTACAGTTCATGCAAAATGCACAGATTAGTCAACTATTCCTCACAGTTACTAGTTCTGGTAAGCAACACATAGAATTATGGAATTACATAATATATCGAGTTGGAAGGAATCCTTACTCCTCAGAGAACTACTCCTCACAGAACTACTCCTTGCTAAACACTTCTTGAACTCTGACAGTGTTGATCCCATGATCACTTTCCTGGGGAGCCAGTTCCAGGGACCAACCATCCTCTCAGCAAAGAAAGTTTTCCTAATGATAATAAATAGCAGTGTTCATTAAAAATGTACATTTCAGTGTCAACTATTTCAAGTTCATAGCTAAGCTTCTAAATATTTGGGGATTTTTTCTGTAGATATACTTTCATTGTTAGTTGACAGAAAGTTATAAATGGGCAATGTTAGATTATGAGATATCACTGTCCTTCAGTCTGTTCATCTGAATAAAGCATACAATCAAAATATTAAACAGTCATTACAATGACAGGTTGTAACCAGAATTCCCTTGTTCATCATGACACTTCAGCTGAATATAGATAGTCAGTCAGCAACTGTGCAAAAAATCTAAAAAAGTTTGTAACTGGAACTTTCTATTTTTTCTATTAATTTATTTTTCCAGTGTAAAAACTGCTGAGTCAGGACCCCAAAAATTCTTCATATCCTGACAGAAGAAAGCCTTCACAAACCCATAATACCTTTATAAAAAAATACATATCGTTTTGATGAAGTAATCACATGGCAACAACTATCCCAAAAACAGAAGTAAGAAGTAGAATGAAAGCAGTATCTGATGTGTCTTTTATGTTTATTGCATAAACCAATCAAAGCAACAGTTAGAATTCTTTTTATATTTTTCACATTCAAAAATAATTACATTGATTTCCCAGGTAACATAGTCTGATGACACGAATTAAAGTAGCATCCCACAGTAGCAAAGGATCACAATAATAAGCATACTCATTGAAAACAGGAAACCTCTAGATTTGATTATTCACAGTTAGGATCAAATTAAACAAACAAAATAGCTTATATAATATGGATCTGTGAAATATGAAAAAGAAGTAGTGATTGGAATAAACAATCCAGGAGATTCCT